CAACTAACATCAGTTATCTTTATTTTGTCTCTTTTTATTTGTTTGTTTTTGGGTTCATCCCCTCCCCATTCATTTATAGATTTTTATGTATAGGATTTTATGCTCATGAAATTTTTATGTCATGGGGTGTTTTTATAGGTTCCCTGAGAGTATGCGGTTTTATGGTATCTGGATGATTGAGTGGTGATTATAGCTTGATATAAGATCTATGCATTAAGTTTCACGGTGATGTTCACCCCCCCTAACAAGTCTCATCGTACACAGTCAACACCAAACTACTTCAAGGAACACTCAAGTAACCCACGTACTCTCCAGATTTAAATCTCATTGAGCATGTATAGAATATTTCAGACTTTACTGAACTTCATGCAGTAATTCATAACAAATAAAACCCAGTGCTTGGATAGATATACGCACACAATTCGAAGACAAAAAACAATCTTGCGTAGCCGCCGTAATTTAGGTGGAGGGATGATCTAGCCTAAGTAGAAGCCTTGCCACAGCGAGAGGCTTAGAAAATCGTCATATGTCTTTCTGTTTTTTTCATTATTCTTTCCTTTTTATACGAAAAGACTTTGCATTTTTATATTTTCTACTAATCAGTAATTCATAATAAATGCAATCATTTTACACTCATATATACATTTTACACTCATATATATATATATATATATATATATATATATATATATATATATATATACCTATTTTCATTTACAAAGTGAAGACAAATTATTTTGCTGTAGTTATTGATAGATTATATTTTATTAGATTCGCGGAGGAAAATCGTTCAGAGTTTGGTGGCGGGGTAGTTTTGTCAAAAAGTATAGGCGAGTTACCGCCCCAATTTTTATAGGAAGCTAGTTGAATAAGCGGAAGTGGAAATACTAACTCTTCTGAATTTTCTTTGTTGCTCAATGGTATTTTTATGAAAAAGTTTTAGTGAACTACTGTTTATACAAATTGTCAACTTTCAAATTTGTAGACTGTAACTGATTTGCAGCACTAATTTAAATTTTGAAAATGCAAATTTAAATTTTGATTAAATTCCATAAGAACCGGATGTCACTAACTGCATCAGCGCGTTCATTATATACATCTCTGTCTATGGACTTGATTGACTTGGAGGGATCGTTGTCAATCGTGACATGGATCTCACCAAATTCGTGATTTTTTTTCTTATCAGAACGATCAAAGTTAGTTTTCCGAGTTGCAGTATTTTCGTAATCACAATTACTTACTAACTCTTTCCAAATTCTCTGCACTGTTCTCAGATTAACACCCAAACACTGAAAGGCTCATATTGGAACTTCCGGCGCGAATGCCAAGCAGTACAGCATACCCCATTTCCAAATTTCTGCATTGAATTGCGTCATGGTGCTTTTTTTTTTTTTTTTTTTCACAGACGGTGCCCAATTGACCCTACTATACTAGGCAGTCGACAAAATCAAAAACAATCAACACGCAAAATTAAAAATATAAAATGGCGACAATTTACCCATCATACCTTGTGTAGTCGTACTCAAAAAAGCCACTTTTCACTTTTGACTGTAAGGAAGAAGCCGTGTACCCAAACAATTGACGTATCACTTTAAAGGACAATGTTTACCAAAACCTTGTAAATTTTTCACTTGTTTTGTTTATTACCATTGCTTGATATCTTATTGAATACTACATCCATTTAACTTAATACATTTTACAGTTGAATTTACTAAAAATTTTCGCTTTCTCTTTAAATACTTATCCGAACAATATTTTTACTCATAAAATTATATTTTTCTCTGTTCTCTACCCTAATGATGAATTTGTAGAAAGCTTGGACCATATTTCCTGTACTTTTCTTACGAAATGAACTTTGGACAACTTCTGATGGAACTTCCTTGTCTGAGGGTTAATCGACACAATGTCTGTCGTTTTTAATAATATTTGCCTTAAAGAACATTTGTTGCCTAAATACGCGTGCGTATGTAGGTATGTTAAAAAAATTCAGTTTTATCGTTAAAAATTTTGAGAGGAAAGACCAAAGGAGTTTTTGATTATATTATTTGATCCGTTTTTAGAATCTTCGAAATTTTAGTTTTTTTTTCCTTTCTATGAACGAATGAAAATTATTTTTCAACTGTTTCTTTTTAGAAAACCTTTCTATTTTATTTTATTTTTTTGTATCTATTCAACCCCCAATCTTCCACTTATTTAATCGTTACAGAAAATCTGCTCTGAATCGTCAAATAAAACATGCAGTAAAATAAGGTCTTAATTAGAAAAGCTTAATCCATTCATTAGTCAGCTGCTAAGAAAGCCGATTCACTATGTCAGGCAAGACAATTTTTCTCTTCAGAATTTGTCTTGCATATCTATAAGTCTACCATTCGTCCATGCTTAAAATATTGCTGCCACATATGGTCCGGTGCCCATATTATTTACCTTGAGCTCCTTGATAATATTCAAAGAATCGGCAATATTGTTGGTCCTAATCTAGCGGCTCTGCTCCAGTCACTCTCCTTCCACCGGAAAGTTTCCTCTGTTTTTTCTATAAATACTTTCATGGTAATTGTTCGGATGATCTCTTCGCTATGGTACGTAGGGTTTTTTAATTTAAGCGCAGTACTAGATTGACATCGAGATCACATCAATTTTCAGTTAAGCTGGCTAAAGGTAGCCGTAAATCCTATGTTAAGAGTTTCTTCTCCCGCACTTCTCGCTTGTGGAACTCACTCTCGGTTCCATGCTTTAATCTGCAAAAAATTAAATGTAATGTCAATTAAATGTAATGTCCACCTGATAACTCTCTTCTCTTTCTGCTTATCATTATTGTTTCTCTTCGTAATTCTTCCACATCCTGTAACCCCTTGTGTTTTAGTGGCATTACTGTCTTGCTTGGGGTAACACCGATTAAAAAACAAACAAGGAAAACTGCTTTATGCATAAAGTATATTAGGGGCACTGTTGTCTTAAGTAAAAATAAAAAAATCGATGACTAATGCATTTTTTACAAGAACAGGTTTCATCATTTTTACTTAGAATAATTTGTAAACTTCTAAATCCTTACTTACATTATTCAGACTGTTATCCTCATCTTCATTGACATATTCACAATGTTTTGGCCGTTGTACACTCCGGCCTTCTTCAGGTGATTGGAATTTTGAAACGAAGCCTTTATGTCGTCTACCAGGGTAGATTATTCTAGTTCCACGTGCTATGCCTCTTCTGGGTGTCTCAGTTATTTCTCTTTTAACTCAACTCTCGAAGTTTTGGTTTACCACTGCTGTAGCCAAATACTGAACTTACAACTTTTGGGTCTAATTACTGGATCTATCCAACGCCTTTAATCGACTGCAATATGAGTACTGGTAAAAAATGATTGCTGAGATATTAGGTTTAAAAGTCCCAAAATTTCATACACAGATGTCCTCAAGGAAGCATGGCCCAGTGGATAAAGATGTTGGTTAGATCTAGTGTCTAGAGACCCAAAGAGTTGTAAGTTCAATAACTGGCTCAAAACGTGTTGAGTTGAGTTAAAAGGGAAATAATTGAGACATCCGGCATGGCACGTGGAACTAGAACAATCTACTCCGGTGGACGAAATAAAGGGTTCGGTTCGAAATTCCAATCACCGGAAGAAGGCCGGAGCGTACAACGAGCGAAACGTTGTGAATATGTCAATGAAGATGAGAATAGCATTCCGAATAATGTAAGTAACCATAAGACCTCATTTCAGAGATATAGACAGATATCAATCCTTTAAAAATCAGTATTTTTAGTTGTCAAGTGATATTAAATTAAGACTTTATTTACTAATCATAAATGAAAAACTCATTACAATTCAACGATCAATATTTTAAAAATAATTTTGAATTTGTATATATAAACATGAGTACGGATCTCCAAATGCGACATTATCAGAAAATGAGTGAAGTAACTATGGTAAAGATAAAATTCATTGGTAATTTTCTAACATTTCCTCAACAAGCGTCTTCCTAAGTTAGACTATAAAGCCAATATTCAATAATATATGCGATTGCTTAGAATATTTTATTACATTTTCAAGATTACTGTGTAAATATAAAAAATGCGTTCACGTTATATTCGTCAATTTTTACATTTACTGTTATTTTCACATTGGAAAAAAATTCTTTAACATAAATCTAGCGAGAAAGTTATCAACACATCAAACGACCCACTTCCGTGTTAAAAAAAAAAGAAACTTTTCTGCTATATTTTAAACTAAAATGTTTCAAATCAGATTAATCTTCAAATCAACTAATTTTCTTCAAATTATGTTTCAGAAAAGTATATTTTATTTTTGAAAGATTTAATAAAGAGAATTTCGTTGTGTTGACAGATTTGTCAATATGAACGATTTTAGCAATTTTATTGATAAAAAAAACGCATTCCAATCAATTTAAATTTGAAATTAAAACTAAAACTATAAGCTTCAAGAAAGGTTTTTCATTTTTTTTAAATGCATTTTAAACCTTAAATATCGTTTTTCTTAGATGAGAGAGAGCGAGAAAAGCAAAAAGAATACAGAAATAGAAGCGATTATTAGACAATAAAACAAAATGATTTTGGTATTAAACACTGTCATAAATTCTTAGCAATTTTACTTTAATTTGAAAAGTTTACATGTCATATAGAAAGAGAACTGAAAAATAAAGGAAAAAGATCTAATAGTATTATTTTCAAATAATTATTCTGTGGCAGAGCTTCACTTAAGAGGCTTGCAAGTAAGGAGACGACGGTAGCGGGTGCGTTAAAACCCATCATTCGTTTGGTATCGTCGAAAGTGCCAGCCGTGTGTTGCCGTGGAAACTGGCTTTCAATCGATATTTTCTGCTGCGTCACGGTTGGTGGAGATTGTTAGTCAGCGCTGACGCCGGGGCCTGATTCTATATAAGAGGGTCGAATTTGCACACCTGCTGTAGAAGCCAGACGGAGCAGTCTCTGATTCAGAAGATCCTTTTCGAGTCCAAAACAAAGAATCCTCTCCAATTTTAACAATGAGGGAGATTATACACGTACAAGCTGGACAGTGTGGTAATCAGATAGGGGCTAAGGTAAGTGATTTATTTAAGGTTTGTGATAAAATAAGAAGAAAGAAATTCACTTTTTATTTTTATACCCACTATTTTTTCCCTAAAATGTCAGCGTTAAGGATATTATCAATCTGCAAAATGAAAGATAGATTTTTCTTGCATTTTGGGATAACAAATTTTTTCTGCTAGTCTATGAATGCAAACTTCTGGTCATAAAACCATAAACTGATCATATTTAAAAATGGTGGTGGCGGGTAAAACTAATTTTAAAAAACCGGCCTGTTACAATAATGTCTGTATTTATTCAAATCATGTCTTTTATTTAGGCATAAATATATGTATGGTTGGATGAATAGATATTTATCAAACTTAATTCCGCACTAGGTTAAATAGGATGAGGCAGAAAGAATGTGTTGCGCCAGTATATATATATGTGTGTGTGTATGTATGTATGTATGTATGTATATTTGAGTATGTGTATGAGTGTACATAGTTATATATCAGTTATCTTCATAATAGCTACTATAATGAGTAAAAGTAAAAATTTGTCTTCCAGAGCATCGATAGATACAAAGATAAAAAGACAGATTGTGCATACATATACATATGTGTGTGTCAACGTATATTATCATACGTGCACAATAGATAAAAAATGATGCCTGTGATTTGCTAATTTTATGATAACATATTAACCTTAAAGGATTTGTCTTTAATTACCCCACCATAAAATTTTAGGACGGTTTGCTAATTACTATCTTGGAAAACGTCAAAACCATTTAGACGTGGAAGAGAATTCTTTCTTTCATAAATAAGTGTTCAGATATTTATTCAAAGTCCGTTTTAATGAAAAATGAAATGCAAAAATCTGAATAGGACAGCGTCTGAGAAATGCTGTATTTTCATTTTTTTTTCGTCTGCTTGCTGAAAATTTTATAATACCGAAATGTCCCCCACCTCCTTTCTGAAAACTGGCATGTCTCTCATAATATATGTGCATATACTTAATGCAAGCATGTATACCGGCTTTGGAGATATTCTTTAATAGAAAATTAGTTGTATTGTACTTAATAATCTGGATATTATTCTTTCAGTATTCTTTTAGATTTCAATAAAGAATATTATTTGTTTTAAGCTCTCAATATATTTAATTTGAAGATTAACAGATTTGCAGAGAAACCCCTTTCAAACAATGGTGCCATGTTTGACCCACTAGCTATCAAAGTAGTCGTTTGGCAGTTATTTCTTCTAATGAATGACCATTTGTAATTCTTGCTCGTTTTCCTAACATTTTCATTAAGTATTCTTTACGAAAAAGAATTATTGGTAAATGTACAGTGATTCATTTTTTCACTTTTTTTGTACGATGACGTCAACGATTCCTTGTCAAAATTTGTCGTTAAGAAGAATAGGAAGAAGCGGTGGAATCGTGTTTCGCTATTATTGATATAGTAAATCGCTCTAGCAATGACTCATGTAGGGGTTTCCATTGGTTGTTGTACGAGGGTGTGCCGGCTTTTTTTTTTGCAGGTGTTTGTTGCGCATGACTCACTACAATCACACTGATACCTTTTAATTAAATTTGATTATTTTAAGAACAATACAGATTACTACGAAAATGTCTGTGAAAAATAGACAAACAAATATCAAAGTAGATATAGGAGATGAGCCGCGGGAAATAATTTATGTATTTTGTAATTTATGATCATTCAGCCGGCGTCTGTTTCAGGACGCTATGAGGATGTATTGTAATGATGTCTACCAAAAATATAATTGCATTATTTCGGTACGTTTTCTTCGCATTTTGAACTTTCTATAATTTCGTCAGGATAGTACAATTAAAAAAGCCTTCCATATTCAAAGCCGACAACTATTTCAATTTTTCCTCAAATTTTCAAACATTCTTGTGTTGTATAGCGATATTTAATGCCTATATTAATTTCTGTTTCAGGAAGGAGGTTTTTTGCTTGTTTGTTTTTTTTTTTTTTGTTGTTTTCTTTTTTTTAAATAAATTTTGTATAAATGGATTTATGCGTGTTTATACTTAATAAAGTATGGCTATGTGTGTGTGTTTAAAAGTATCTTTTTTTAAAAGCTTGATGATGGCTACTCGAATGTCTGTTTTCTACATGCATGTGTTTTGAGAACTGTCAAACCATAATTTAGTGCTTTCTGCAGTGAATGAAAATTTATATAAAGCGCATTATACATTGGTGTAAGTATTTTATATGCAGAATGTGGATTCTTCATTAGTTTTGTCATGTAGAAAACATTGATTCATTTTTTATTTTACAGAAAAGCTTCAAAAGAATTAAGACCGTCATTTTTTTACAAATTATCATTAACAGGCAAAGTTGTAAATTAATGTCTGATTATTGCTTAGCTTAAATGATAAATTTCCGAAAATGATTATCTTTGGCTTTGTTCTCTTTACCTCCCCACCACTTCTTTATTTAAACAATTTTTCAGGTACATTTACAATGTTGTATTTTTATTTAACCATATTGTCACACTTTATGGCTCTGCCTTGGTTTAAACATAAAATGTCTAAAAAAATTAGAAAAAGTTTGTGTAACCCCTTTTGAAATGGCAAACAACTCCAGCCTCACGATTTTCTTTTATATCTTGAAAAATGTTAATTTTTGAAATAATTATAAATAATATATATATATAAATATAAGACAATATATAGTATCATTTTATAAACAATTAGAACTCTTTTTAAGTTCTTATTTTAATAATTTTTTTCATTTTCTTTTCTCATGCTCTCAGCCCAAATTAATTCCACAAATCTGCCAAAACGACCGGACAAACACACACACACACACACACACACACACACACACACACACACACACACACACATATATATATATATAGTGAGAGTGTCTTGGTCAGGTGGAGAACTTTTTAGCATTCCATATAACTTCCTTTTGATAAAATATTGTAGCATACGTTTTTTTAGTAACGCATTCTACTTAATTCCTTTCCATTATAGTTTGTTTTGATTTGTGATTTAAATTGCCACATATTTTAAATAGAAATAAATATTTTCTAGGAAGTAAGTGATGAATAATTAACCATAAAATATGGTCATCTGAAAAAATTATAGAAGTCGTTTTATTTTTGTGAGGGTCTTCTTAATTGTATGGTTTATTTTTAAGTAGTAGTAGTAGTAGTAGTATTAGTAGTCGTTGTGTCTCGGATGTTGCAGATTTTACAAGAAGTGGGATAAACTGATATGACTGGTCCAAGAAGAATTAATATTTTTATGCCAGACGGATGACACGCATCATCCAGTCATAGTAGTAGCAGAAATTGTAGCAGCAGAATTGGCTGTAGTAACAATTATCGGAATCATCTTCATCCTCAATATTGGAAGCGGAGGAGATGGTGGTGGTGGTGGCGGTAATAATAGTAGTAGTAAATACTATCGGTACTGAATATATTACACTTCACTTTATCTCAATTAATTTTTTAATTTAAAAAAAATTAGCCTGGCAAACTAAAAAATAAGGCACAGAAATTAAATAGACCATCAAATTGAATCGATAAATAAAAAAAGTAATCAAATCTAACAGATAATGCAAAAGTCCCTGCAAGAGTAAATTTAATTGAAGCTTAATATAATTCTTATAGATTTTAATTAATTTTAAATTTTTCGTTTTAATTTAGGTATCAGTTTTATTACCTTTCAGATTCACAGAATTAAGTTTTTGATGTCGGCCAGTGTGAATCCGGGTTGAGGTTCGCTCAATTGTTCAAGTACAGAGATGAGGAAAAATAGAGGTTTGGAATAATCGCAAATGAAGATAATATAGAACCGATTTAATTGATAGGAAGAATGATGAAGAGTCATTTAATATAATGAAAGCACAGCTTGACGCTGGATTGTCGGATGCTAGGATCCTTTAAAAACAAAGTAACATGAGTGAGTGTCTGAGAATAAGTCTCTAGAAGTTTGGTCATGTCACAGAGAATTCCTAATAAATATTTTCAAAAAGAAAAAAAAATGACTTTAAAATAGTTGCCAAATAGATTGTGATCCAAAGATGGTCATATATCACAATAAAGAATATTATTTCACTACTTATGAGTGCGAAGAAAGAAAGAGGGGGGAGATTCCGAGAGGATTTTCTCAGACTCAGCTCATTTCATTCAAATATCTATTATGATGATGAGATAATCTGAACTTCTGTAACAAAAGTTTTGACAACCGTAATCTCCGTAGTAGCAGAAGTAAGACATAAGGGATCCAGGGTTTAGTGTATTATTATCCTTTAATGCGAGGTGTTGAGTACAGTGAAGTTCATAAAAGAAGAATAAAAAACGGTAGATTTTTTTATGTGGATTAAAGTATAAGAGTCAAGCGAATCAATTGAAAATCTCTTCTAAGGATTCTGAGAGAAATTACTATTCGTTTCTGACCTCATATGGTGTTCCATTGTCAGCAATCGAATTATATTGGTCTTCCATGAAAACCAAGACTAAAGAACTAATGGTCGATAGACTATCTCCGGTGCTGGCTGATATCGCTGATATTTATCGGTTGAGAATTGATACGTTTCTTCCACCATATACCGAGTCACTGTGTCGTCATCATCATTATTATTTCGTCAAAAATTATTAATGAAATTGTTATTTGTAAATAAGAAAGAGCGGAAATTGCAATGACGGTGCCAGATTTGCTATTCATTTTTCCGCCAGTAGTACCGGATGGCTTTCACTGAGAATTAAGTAACAGAATATCTCCTGAATATTTCAGCATTCTTGTTTAATGGATAACGGCTCGGAATCAGAAATCGAAGAGCCGACTTCGAATTCCAGTTGGATTCGTTTCATTTACTTATACGCAAATAGCCCTAGAAAAGGTGTAAATCCATCTCTTCCCCTCCACATCTATTGATTTGAATAACATGACAGACTGCGTCCTATAGCCTTGGTTGGCAACCGGTCTACCCTAGGAAAAAACGACAGTCTACTGCAGAAAATCTTCTGCTTCGTCAGTCATGAATCGAAACAGA